TAAGCGCCTCATTAAAAATTACTCATGACAAAAGGCATTCTATATTGTAGCCACTTCTTCTGTTTAGAACATGCTTTGTACCGACATTTTGCGACCCCACTTCAGACATTGCGCACAGAAAGGGACGTGAGAGGGGAAAGATCGTCAAACTTCGCGCAGGACACGACTACACCTGAACATCACTAAATGTTAATCACGAACGACCAGCATTCGACTCTTTAAAATGTAACAACAACGGATTCATTTGTTCCGATGAGCTCTCAAAGGGGAGGACGTGTTATTCCACCACGTAAGCTAATTCGAAGCGTCAGCAATGGTGCTAAAACCCGGGACAATGTTGAGGCATCGAATATAGCTTAAGTGGTGGGAGAGCTTTGACGATTGGGCCGAATTTTCTCAAATACATATTTCGTATATATTGAAGAAATATCAGTGTTACCTGTGTCTGAGCAAAAGGAAATCGGTCTCTTTCTCTCTCTCTCTCTCTCCCTCTCTCTCTCTCTCTCTCTCTCTCTCTCTCTCTCTCTCTCTCTCTCGTTATCCTTCAGTCATACTCAAATATTGTACATTTCAGCTAGAATTTCATGTAATTAGTCAATTTATTTTTGCCTTTTCGCTACCGCTTACGCGATAGAAAGCAGCTGCAGAAAAATATGGCGAATTTTCTGCAATATAACTCTTATTGCCGGGCCCTTGAAACGAGAAAGTGGATAAATCCAGTTGCTAAATTTTAAAAAGTCCTCTTAACTCGTGGTAGCCAGAATCCTTTTTTTGTGGGTCCTTGTTACAGAAAAATCGATTGACTGCAAAACGTGTCCGTCCGTCTGTGAACAACGCTAGTGGCTAAACCGTTCAGCCGTTTTTATGCAAAATTGATATTCATGATCAATCTGCCTGATTCGCGGCCCCTTCAATTTGAAACATTAATCTTCAGTTTGCGGGGTACCTTACATGAAGCCCCTGGGACATTTTCAAAAGAATGGCTTCAAATTTTATGATTAAGTTTTTGTATTGGATAGTGTAAACGACGTTTAAAAGAATGACGCAGGCATAATTTTTGTTGACAACTAATTTTTCGAAAATTGCAAACGTTTAATCTTTTCAGTGTCTTCCTACAATTGAAATATTGAAGATTTTCTCCATGTATTAAATGTGTTGATCAGAAACATCTTCAAGCAAAGTCATTTCAAAAACATGAATATTTATTTCTTAATTTTGCGTTAAATCTAGGACCTTTTAAAAACATTTTAAACAATTTTTTCTCAAAAAAATAAAAAAAGTAAAAACACACCAAATTATTGATTTTTAAATGTTTTCTTCAATATAACAAAGTATGGTAAATAAAATTATGCTGGTCTCTTTTTCGGGTCTCTCTCTATACTTTCAAAAATTGCAAACAAAAAACTACAATTGCAAAAATTGATGAATAATATGTTTTGTTGTAATCTGTTCAAAGAAAATAGGCCTTTAAATCATGTTATGTACAATTGTTTTAAAATACTTGTAAGTAGTTTAGTGTAAATGCATAATTTTTGAAATTGCATTTTTGAATTTTCCTAATTTTGGTTGATGAGATGTCAGGACGAAATTCTTCTGAATTTTTATTTTTGTTGGACGGACATGGAACCATTAAGAGGGTTTGTTTCACTTACCGTATTTATATTTTTTACGTCAAAAATAGTTAAAAACTATTTTTTGATCTATTTATGTCTGATTGTCACTGCTATCAGTGTTACTGCATTGTAAAATGTACAATACATGCAAAACAACCAACAGTGCAATAATGGCATTCCACACCGCAAGTCCACAGTTGGATTTTCTAAGAATTTCGTCTGTTTGACATGATATAGCTGTATGAAATGCAGATTTATTTGTTGAATATGTGTTGATATTTGCTTGAAAATAATTAGCTTTTGCCAGAAATGTTCAATGATTTGTATTGATTTTCACAAAAAATGATGACTGATATTGCACCTCCAAAAGAAAAGTGACACAAGTGCGAATTTCCGATTTCTTAGGAATTGCAATTTTTAGTTTCATGGTTCTGTAATACTCATTAAAGATTGTATCAAATATTCACCTTCTAGCAGACAGTAATTGAACTAATTCAAAATCAACTTCAGAGTAGTAGCAGTACCTCTTAGTAACCTCATATCAGCTTTTAGCTGAAAATGACGATTTTACACTTGTTTTTTTTTTATTTATTTTTTATTTTTTTATTGGAGGTGTGATATTTGTTAATTAGGACTGTTTTTTAATGTTTGTTTTTGTTGATATTTGTGTTGTGTAATGTTGATATTTGTTAATGGCTGTTTAATAATATTACATATCCGTCACTACGTGCAAGAAAGCATGTGCTCTTTTAGCTTCACTAGTTACTTCAAGAATGAATTGAAGTTGAATGGGGCCTGTTATTTAAAATTATTGACTTAAATCAACACTGTAATTCTTAATTTTCTTCAGCTTAATAAACATTACATTTAAACACTTTTCAATTTCCTATTCTTTAGTGTTTTACTTTTATGAAATAACATTAACTGAATATATTAAAGAATGGCTATTATTAAAAATGTGAAACCAAAGGTAGGATAACCTTGTGAGCTCACTGCACCTTTGCATTTTCCTAATAAGATATTGTAACCTATTAATTACTGACTTTTTCAATTTTTTTCTTCTTATAAAATGAAAAACTAAGCTTAGATATCCTTCCTTATATACTTGGAGATAAGAGTGGCAAGCAGAGTTCATGAATGAAAAAAATGTGATATACCTACTGTAAATGCCAATACTACGACGAACAAATGTGAAGAGTCAAACTCTTTCTTGTCTGTGCTTAATGATTACATCACCAATAATAACTCACTTAATGAACTCACATCAATAATAATGACTCACTTAATACTCACACCAATAATGATAACTCACTTAACACATTTTGTCATTTTCTCTCCACAAGAGAACTCAACATGATGATTTTGTAATCCAAAACTTGTCAAACAATTAATTTAAACTTCTTCATAATTATGTATCATATCTGTTCATACTTTAGAGAGATCAATTTATCTTTTGTTTTTACATTTTTGAAATTTATTTGTTTCTCAGTGATGTATAATTCTATTCAAAGGTTACTCATACCAAGGTGGTCGATGTCCTCTGTTGTTATGCCATAAATGAAGTTTCTGTAGTTCACCCAAGCTTCTTGCTGTGAATATTACAAACCAGTCTGTTGCACCAGTGGTGAAATTTGCTTTATATTTTGAAACAAGCAAATGGGGCTATTAACATAATAAAATAAACAAATATTATTATGTTTTCAAACATAATCATTGTAACATGATTAATATATAACATGATTTTGAATTGTTTTACCTCACTAATTTCTTTAGATCCCATTAGTTTTATACCAACAGTAGATGAAGTGCCAGCATTTCTTTTGAATCCTGTGTACACAGTTATTAGGTAAGCATATTTGGCATTTGAAGAATTATCTGCCAGAAGGACAACATTGCTCTAAAACATAAAAAGCCAAACAAAATTAACATATCATCAGAAAGAGAAGGCTCATATCTGAACAATGCATACATGTATCCTCCCTCATCTAATCCTCAAAAAACGAAAATGACCCACATCACATTTGAGTAAGGAAGGATTAACTTTGGCACATTTGATATGTTTTTGTATCATACAAATTGATTTTTTCTTTACTTAGGATATTTATAGAAATATTTATAGGAAATCAGCTTTTCTCTTTAGTAGTCAATGGTATAGTTCAATAATATCGAGTGAAAATGTGGATGCTAGATCATTGTACACCCTATTTAACTCATAGAAAATGTATTGGAATAGTCATTACCTTTGATTTATCTTTTTTGTCAGTAAAATATGCCCATATCATGAGAAATAGCAATGTCATTAACAATGCTAATATAAATATGAGCATATTTAGATTATTATACAATGGTTGTATAATTGGTATAATTTCATCTGTGATCAATTTGTATGGAGAAAGTGTCATTGACCCAGAAAAGAAGGTTGCATGTTTGCAGTGACAATTTATTTGACTTTTTGTTGTACCGGATCCTACCTAGAAAGAAAGAAAAAAGAAAATTACATCCTTCTTTTGATTTTTATTTGGAAATGAAACACAACTTTTAAACTTACATAACAGTCTTTTTGAACCCAAGTCTGTTCTTCATTATTCCAATACTGACATAATGTTGTTGAAGTTTCAAAATAAATTGTCATTTCAGATACTCCGGATGGCGGTTTTTCTAACTAAAAGTGAATAAAATTTATCATTGAGAAAAAAGAAAGGTCTATTACTGTATACTAATATGAAAAAATATTATTATGAAATAGTTTGTTTCCTAGGATATCTACAATTAATGTGAAAAATATGAAGAAATAAGAATTGTTTTGCATACAATTTCCTGTATACCCTTAATATCCCAAAAGCCACTTTTTTTCCATTTTTTAATTTATTTTTTATTCAATTAATATAATAATAATTGTATTCCCAAATAATCAAATAACCATGATTAAATAATATATTATTTGAAAATAAATAAAACACATCTTGATTTTTGGCAGTAATTATCTTTAGAAGGAGACACTCACAATTATAATACACCTACATTACTTTTCATAATACAACTTTTGGCTATGACCACAATTGAATGCTTGTTTTATAGGTTCAATAAATCACTTGTGATGTTTTTTGCACATGTTTTTCTTGACTTCTTAAAACCCTACTACCGCCTTTCTTTAACTACACATGTTTGAATGATTACTTAAAATATTGTAGAGATTTCAGGGCTAAGGAAAATGGTCATTCATATACACAGTTGCATACATTAAAATACAGAAGAACAAGAAAGTTCATTTTGGAAACTATTTGTTATGTAATTAGAATTTACTAATCTTTTTAAATACACCTTGAGCCTTTTCTTAAAGTTTTAAATTAAATTATGGTTTCATCTATTTGTAATTAAAATTCTTACTGGTAGAATAGCAACAAAGAACCATGCATGATTGTCTTCAGCTGTTTCATGAGTTGTCACAACTTTTACTCCATTTTTATTAGATTCAGGAACAATCACCCCTTTTTTGCTAAAATCTTCTACAGAAGGTAATTCGTTCTGAGCAAGTATTATCTGGATATCAACAGTACAAACAATTAAACATTTATAAATTTTGGTTAAAATGATTTAGAATCAAACTAGAAATAAAATACAAAGATTCATTCGCTCGCTTCTTGTACTATTAAATTAAAAATGAGATATGAAATGTGGAGCATGTAGAATAACAATTTAATAATATAATGATATTAATATGATTATTTTCTAGTCATCCTTTCTAAAAAGAAGTTTTAAAAATGACATATATTGCACTTCATTAAAAAAAATTATGCTAATCATTTTGGAAGCCTTAAAAATAAAAAACCAAACTTACCTTTAATTTTGGGTTCAGGGGAGATGAAAAGTTGACGATAATCGACTGTCCTTTCTCCAGGATGAAACGATATAAAAGTAAATTATTTTCATGATTTAAACTCCCATGATCATCTTGAGTAATGTTAATTTTGGCAATAATTTCTTCTACTTGAGAATTCTTAATTTCAAGAAATATATCCAATGGTTTTGGAAGATTTTTTATTTGTTTTTGAGTTTCTGTATTTTTAAATATTAGTGAGAGTGAATGACTGTTAATTTTTTTCGATGTTGGATGCCACCAAAATGGATTTATTTGGGAAGTGGCAATCTAAATAAAAAACAAAAAAATATGTAATTTCCCTCTGATGTTGACAATGATGATCCCAATCATCTCAAAAAAGAAAACATCAGTTACAAATATTTACTTCAATGCATGAAACCAAGGACATTCTTAATAAACTAGAAGTGCTACAAAATAGCACAGTCTTCCTTGAATTATTTGTATCTATAGCATAAAAGTAGATGCATTAAAAAGCATGCTTTGTAATTGTTATTATTGCAAACTTATTTCTACTACCTAATAATTCAGCTTCCTTTTGTGAACTTTCTCATCAAATCCAGAGACTTTTAGCTCAGCACACTATTAGTCTAAAAGTCCATTTACTAATGCTATACTAATTTATGTAGATTATAATTACCTAACAGTCACTTCATATGAAAAATTATTCCTTTCCTGTAATAACCTTAGTAATTATAAATCTATATATCTGAATTGCATCAACACGACTTACTGCTAAGACAATTATTCTCAAACGTTTTCTTCAGATTTAAATTATTTTATCACACTCTTAAATAAAGACTCTTTTCAAAATTCTTAAACCTTACAGAAACGGTTGTTGAATACAATAATGAGTGAAGATCATCTAATACTGAGTGAACTTTTCAATTAATAGGATTAAAATACTTTACTTTGAATTCCTCATAAACTAGTATATAGGAGAGAGAAAGTCTTGTAAATGCTGGGAAAAAATACTTAATTTTTATCAGAAAAAACTGTTTGTGGATATATGATTCCAAAAAATATAGTTATTTTGTGCTCATGTAAGCAGTAAATTGCTTTATCGAAGACAGTAAAAAAGAATTACTTTATCGGAATCCATATTTTTTCGGTCCCTAATATAAAAAAAAAATTGGTTTTCAGCACTGAGTCGATCTGATTGTCTGTTTGTGATTAACATTATCACCTAAACCACATGATTTTCAACCACAATTATATTCCCTGATTGATATGGCTAATGAAGTGGACATCAAGTCTGAAACAGATCTTATCGTTATTGAGGATACTTTACACAAAGCACAAGGAAGTTGGAACATGTCTATAAAATTGCTCCAAAGTGTTAGTCTAGTCTCATTAGTAGATGTCTGATTATTTTTCTAACCTCATAATTTTGAATATTAATAAATAAATAAAAATGTTTCAACCTTCTAAGTTATTGATATATTTTTCTTCATAAACTCTGTTCTTTAAAATAAACCTTTAAATAATATAATATACTCTTTTTTGCAAAAATCTGTGGTATTGGATAATGTTTAGTAAAATTATAAAAAAAAAGAGAAATTTAAACTAGTGGTGCCACAGATTGAGGCTGACTTTTTCGTACTTGTTTGTTTTCTAATTTCTTTGGTCAAGGCTAGCTTCTCGATCTTGACCTTCTTAATAGCTGCCATGTATCGCCGTCCAAAGCTTTTCTCGCCGATTCGTTACAGATTACAATTTGGCAGTTTGGATTCACTGTACAACAAATATGCAAAACAGTGAACATCCGTCTACAAATTATTTGCGGTATTTTTACATCAAGTGCTTGTCGTCATTAAGTACTGTCCCGAAACGGATCCAAATAGATTACTGTGCTTTGTTAGTGTTTCCGAAAGACTTGCTGTTTGCATTAACTTTCTTATGACATAGAGGAGAAATAAGAACTATGACAAAATTTAATTCAAGGTATGCGAATTCCAGGAAATTCGTTATTTTGCACTTTATAGAACACAATACAGAAAAATCCACGGTTAATTCACTCTTAAAATAGTTTTTTACTATCTCGCCTAACACATTCTTCGTAAGACGAAGCCTTAGTTATGTAATCGTGAGCTAGAAAACGACGAAATTTCGCCTGAAAAAACCTAATTGGCGGGTTCTGGTAACGAAAAAGTGGATATATCGGGTTGCTAAATTAAAAATAAATAAAGAGAGAGAGAGAGAGAGAGAAAGAGAGAGAGAGTAAGAGAGAGAGAAAGAGAGAGAAAGAGAGAGAAAGAGAGAGAGAGAAAGAGAGAGAGAGAAAGAGAGAGAGAGAGAGAGAGTGTGTGGAAGGCCTGAGCAGGAGGAGGGCAGATACGCTGGTTCGAGTCTTGTTCGGGAACTATTATTTGTGACAATTGTGTTGCCACTGGAAATAATGTATAATTTCAGAAACAAATATTGAAAACCATTTGAAGCAATTCAAATTGCAAACACGATGAATGAATATAAATAAACGGGAAGTGTTTGTATGTGATTTCTAATATTCTAGTTTTAAACAATTTTCACATCTCTTATGGAATTTGTAAAACGTATGAACCATCAAATCAATTGCTCGCTTTCGGCGCTTATGACTATTATAGAAGTGCATGTCGTCTGTATAACCCGGGTGGCCGAAGTGGTGAACGAGGAGGGAATGGCCGTTCTTTCAAGCCTGGCTCGTGGGAAAATTATTTTTTCACAACTCTGTTGCCGCAGAAAATTATTGTGAATTTCAGAAACTTTATTAAAATCATTTGAACAATTCTACTCACATATACAATCTATTAAGATTCTAAGTAAACTGAACGTGTTTATGTCATGATCGTATTTTGAAAGTTTGAACAAGTGTACTACTCTTTTGTCCTATTTTTAAAATGTTTGTCACATCATCATGAACCATCAAATCAATTGTTTAATATAATATTCATATCAATGTAATATTGCAGAGCGTTTAGAAACATTGCGAGAAAGTATGTGCTTTAGTAACACCATTAGTTTAATTTGAAAATTACTAAAAAAAAATGTTTTTGACATTATGTACAGTATTTGAAGTTATTGACTGCGTAGCACCGCAATTTACCTCAAGTAATAATTAATACTGTAGTACCAAAATTACCTGCACTCCTAGAGGAAAAGAACCTAAACTTTTTGCGAGCTCCTTTGTTATAATGGCATAACCACTATCTCCACCCAGTGGACTATCAACTAACTTCTCAGGTAAGTCGATCTGGAAATAAAATAAATTAAACATTACATTTACTAAATTTTCTAAAATTGTCTTATTAAATGAAATCAATTAAACAACACTTATATTATTAAAACTGATACATGTTTTACATTAAAACAAGATTTATAGATACAAGTAACTCATTTGTATCTATGTGTGTATCATAACGGGTCACGAAACCGGCCGAGTTAAGCTCAGAAGACCCATGCTGCTGACTCCGCAGTGGATCTGATCGGCACTCCTAGAGTTCGAATCTCGACGATGGCAATTGTCTATACCAAGTCATATCAGCCGCTGTCTGGCCTCTATGAAATTCTTGCAGCTGGCTGTTCTGATCGGAAATTTTGCGGGGGGGGGGTTCTGCGATTTATACCGGGTGAATCCCAGAGCAGTATCCTAATAAATGGGTCACGGAACGCGCTCGATCTTTTGTTCCTCTTCCTTGTCCTATTATCACCCCTTACTTACACCGACACACACTTACGTGCACCACACATGCCAAGAGACCACTCAAGAGTTTTCTTCTTGTCCCGGCTAGGGTGGTGCCCCGATGGGTAAGATATCTCGAAGAGAAAATCCTCCGCTAGCCGACGCTATAGCAGATCCGCCATACAACGTACCTCTGAGAGGCTTGACGCACCATGACCCAAAGCCAGGAACGAGACTTCAAGCCCACCTCACAAGACAATCCGACTCTCTTGAAAAGTGTCATGGACTATGAAAGGTGACCCCTGTTATGTGCCACGGACCGGATGGCCAGGCTTCTTCGCAGAGCTCTCATCCCCTGGTGTTCTATGTTCTCGATGGGATCAGGGGAAGCCTGCTCTAAGTGAAAGACCGCCTGATCCACCTCATAACGCCGGAGTGTACGAAATCTCATGCAGTTGCGAGGTTTTGCGCTCAGTTTCCCTGATCCTCGAGCAAATGCTGATATGGCCACTTGTTTTGCTTCTGGACATCAACATAACTTCAAATTAACGTCTCCCCATAGCACGTCACATACAGTTTTTAACTGTTTTTGACATAAATAAATATTACTGACTTTTACATTAATGATTAATGATTTGTTGATTTAATTTAATTACTGATTACTTTAATGATTACTGATCAAGATTACTGACTTTCTTTTTTACAACAAACGCATTGGATACACACACATCTCAAATGATTTCCGTACCGAAAATGTAACCGGTTTTGCGGTAAAAAAAGAGACTACGATACATTCAAAGTTAAAGATTATTGTTCCCTAATTTATTGTCATGCATATTCCATTCTTACCACTTTGAAATACAGTGAAGAACTTAATGAAAAAAAATTGTTAAATTTACATATTCCAAAAGTGTGTTAGAAAGTGTAAACGATGCTGATAAATAGTATCCTGAAATTAATGAAATGGCTGATAAATATTGTGATTTATTACAAAATCACAAGGAATTAATTCTCATTTGAATCCCTTAGTATGGTGTTATCGACAATATACCTCTTTACAAAACAACAAAAGACCTTCACGTATTTCCGAGCATCCGGTTTCCCACAATGTTACAAAAAGATCACGAAAGAAAAATAGCTCTTTGAAATACTGAATGGATCAGCTTACAAATCAGTGAGCTTCAGCGATTAGTTCACTTTTGATGCAAGGTAAATTTTAAAATTTCCGAGTTCTCGTTTGGTTTAGCAATGAATAGTACATTTCGTATTCACTACGGGCGTTTCTTATCTTTTTACCCCTGAGGTGACTCCCAACCTCAAGTCGACCTCGAGACAAAAACATCTACTTTACGTCGTAGGTACTTAAACAACTATAAGACAACCTTTACTCGCAAAGCAAACACTGCAGAATCCACTTTTATTTCTTTCTGACTTTTAACAATACGATCCATCAGTGAATCAC